GGGATTTTCCCAGACCAGGGCACGAACCCGTGTCCCCTGCATTGGCAGGCGGACTCTCAACCACTGCACCACCAGGGAAGCCCCAGAATGCACTTTTTAATCGCTGTTTGGAACTGCTTCCCTGTGACTTGCATCCGTTGCTCCAGTTCTGCCCCATGGAACACACAGAATAAGTCTAGTCTCTCCTTCCATAGGATTCAAGGTCCCAGAGCCTTTTCTTCTCCAGGGGAAACACCTTCAGGTCCTTTAACTGTTCCCAAGGGACACGGCTTCCCCCCACCCAACCAACCCTCCATTCATCAATGTCCCTGTTGAAATGAATGTGCACAGGTTTCTAGGTTGGGTCTGGCCAGAGGTGATGGCGCGAGCACCCTTGACGGGGTCTCCCACCCATCTTCCACCTCTAAGCAAGCCCTCATGCCCACATCTTAGGCCCTCCTTCTCTCTCCTGCTCTCTACATCCATAGAGATGGGAAATCTCCCCTAAGATCTGCCAGCCCTGTCATGCCTCCTTCACGCTCTGAGTTTCCTCAGCTCCAGCAAGGTGTCCTTTTCCCAGCTCTCCCCGACCCCCTTCCAGCTCTGCCTGGCTAATGCACATGTCTCTGCAGGGGGATTGATCATGGGCACAGGCATCGAGTCTTCATCCCACAAGTATGGCCTGTTCCAGCACATCTGCACTGCCTACGAGCTGGTCCTGGCCGATGGCAGCTTTGTGCGATGCACACCGGTGAGTTGAGAGATGGCCTGCTCTGGGCATTAAGGACCCCTAGGAGGCGGCTCCCCTGGGGGTGCTTCGTTTCAAATACACCTGTCCAGTCTGGGTCTGTATCCATAATAATAACAGATTTATGTAGCCCCTGATATGTGCTCAGATACGGTTGTAAATGCCTCATGTATATTAAGGCATTTAATCGTTAAACAACTTTATGAGGTGGGTGCTATTATTAGACACATTTTACAGATAGGAAACTAAAGCACAGAGAGGTTAATAAACTTGCCCAAGATCACACAGCTAGTAAATCCCACACGGCTGGGATTCAAACCCAGCTTATCGGGCTCCCAAGTCAATGCCCTTAGCAATTCATGTCACCATACTGTCTTGAAGTCAGGCCCAAGCATCAACATTCTATGCCAGTGGTGAGGTGTAACCAACAGTAATAAGAGGGGCTGTTTTGGAGAAATAAAAGGCAATTCCACGGCCCAAAGTAGGATGCAAACAGTTACGGAGCAGGACAGATTGAAACTTTAAATAAACTCAAATCTCACTGAGCATATCTAAGGAGCCGCTGGGATGGGAGGAACAGAGTGATCCTTTAGAAGTGAATGTTTCTGAGAGCCTCCAGAGTTGTTGGCCTCACAGAGTCCAGGGCAGGACTCCAGGCTTGAGAGCTCTGGTCTGGACAACATAGACCTCTTTCAGGATTCACACCAGTTCAGCACGTTTCCTGAAACGCTCGCTGGGCCCTGCCTTCTAACCTGTTTATTATGAGCAGAGAAAGGAGACAGGCATTCATGAATTACTTCCCTTCTCTGAGGTCCAGTTTCCTCATCTGGCAAATGCGTTGTCAGGAGGAGAACGTAGATGCCGTATGTTAAGCTTCTAGCACAGAGCGGGGTGTGCGGCGGACACCTGGTTATTACTGCTATGAGCTGACAGTGTGATCAGGCGGTGGCCCAGATGGGCATCGGGTGGCCCATGTCTGCTGTTGCAGAGACTTCTGCCAGCCTGCTGCAGAGCTCCCCTGCTCCAGAATGGCCCTCACCCCACCCCCTCGCTGCACCCACCACACCAGCACCAAGGGCGTCCAGCGTGAGCAGAGACCACGCAGGACTGTCCTGTCCATAAAGCCTGCACAAGGCTAGACTTCTTCACAAGGAGCTTTATTAGAATCAACAGCCAGATGAAAAGTTGTTTGTCTCCAAGACAAATACCAAAACAAGAAAATCATGAGGTTAGAAGGAGGATCGCTGGATCAGGTGTCAGGCGGCCTTGCCTGAGCCCGACATCGCTGCACTGAACTGGGGGGAAGCCTTGGGTGAGCCATTGTCACCTCTTGGAGGCTCACTCTCCTTACCCATTCAAGCAGGAAT